CGATGGGGGTGCAGGCTCTGCGGCTGCTCCTCCTTCTCCTCCTCCTCGCCGCGGGGCTGCTCCTCGCCGCCAGCACCGGGGCCAACGGGAGCGGCGCAGGTAAGCGGGACCGGGGAGTCCCGGCGGGCCGTGTCCCCCCCCGCCCCGGCCTGCGGGGGTCCGTTCCTCGCTTCCTCCAGGGCATCGCGCGGGGACCCCCGGGGACCGGCAGCAGCTGGGGGTGGCCGTGCGGGGGTCGCAGCCCCGCGGGATGCTCGGTGCCTCCTCCGCCTCGGGGACGGCGGTTTGGTCCCGCCGCGGAGCCGGCTGCACCGTGGGGACCGGCGCTCCCCGGCCTGGTGGGGCCGTGAGGGGCGGGGTCCGGGGGAGACCCCTGCCCCTCCAGCCTCCCCCGGGGTCCAGGAGGGCGGGGGTCCCCCGGGGAGCCGGGAGGAAGGGGGGGCTGCGGGAGGACACTGAGGCTGCTGGGCCGGACCTCCCAGCCCTCCCCCGGTCCCCGAGCTGGTTGTACCGGGCAGCTGGGCTGGGGCTGACGCAAGGCCTGGCAGGGGACCCCGGGAAGCCCATCCCGAGGCAGGGGCGTTCGCTCCCCATCCCCCTGCCACCTCCCACCGTGGGGTCCCCTCCAGGCGTACCCCAGGCTCCGCTGGGAGCCAGCATCCTGCGTGGTGTGGCTGGGGGATGCTCAGGGTTTTGCCTGGGGACAGCCTGGGAGCTGCTGGGGTGAGCGTGGGAGCCCCCTGTTCCGGCTCCCCACCCCAAACCCCTGCCCTGACCCTGGGGGGCCGTGCTCTGATGGGCAACTGTGGGGACCAGGCTGTGACAGGGGCCGGGGCTGTGATGGGTAACAAAGCTGTGACGGAGCAGCTCTGGGCCCTGTGCAGGTGACAGCTCGTGGCAGCGCCATGCAGAATTGGGACACTCCTGGCATGTGACCCCCTGGGTCCTGAGGGACAGCCAGAAGCTCAGCCTGGCAGAGGCAACCCAGGTGAGCCCCCACCCACATCCCTGGGGAGCCTGCGCCACGTAGAGGCTTGTGACAGTGGGGTGGGAGCTGCCTGCACCCCACCACCTCCTCCTGCCCCCTTCCCGGTGAAGGATACCCGGCATCCAGGTCCCCTGGTCCCATGTCCCTGGGGATCGGAGCACCCGGAGCCTCTGGGCGCCCCAGGGGCAGTGGGGAGGGGGCCCCCAGCAAATCCTCCTTCCCTTCCAGACCTGATGCCGGGAGGGACCTTGCTGGGTCGGGGTACCCACCCTGCGCCCGGCACTCCTCCCGGCTGGGGCGGAAGGGCCCAGCCCGCCCCACGGCCGTTGGGAGTCTCTCTGGCGTTTCCGCCACCCTGCACCGGGCAGGAAGCGCGGGGGGCGGCGGGAGCAGGGGCCCGGCTCTGTCTGACCCCCCCCTTCCCCAGCACAATGAGCCCGGGAGGGAGGGACCCTTCCTGCGGGGTGTGAGGGTGGGGGCCGGGGTGGGCAGGGGATCCCTTCCGCCCCCTCCCTCCGGGCACGTGCCAGGGCCAGGCAGGTCCCCCGGCCTCCTGCCGACACCCTGCTGGGGGTCACGGTGTTTCAGAGGGTGTGGGGGGGGGGTGGGAGGGGCCCCGCAGCTTGGCGCAGGGTCGGGTCCCCTGGGGCAGGGGGGGTCCTGTAACTGCTGCCTGTGGTAGGGGGGGTTCCCCGCCCGGCTGCGGGTCCTGCTGGAGCTGGAGGGGACACAGCTGGTGCTGGAGCTGGAGAAAAACTGGTGAGTTGGTGGCTGGCTGGCGCAGAGCAAGGGTGGGAATGGGATGGGGGTCCCCGGGAGTCCTGTATCCATGAATGGTGCATGCAGGGTGGGGGTCCCATGGGCTCTGTCTCTGTCCATGGTGCACAAGGGGTGGGGGTCTGAGGGACCCTCTCTCCATCTGTGGCACACATGGAGCGGTGGTCCCTTGTTCCTCATCTCCGTCCATGGTACACCTGGGGTGGGGGTCCCAGGGACCTTGTCTCCATCCAAGGTGTGCCTGCAGTAGGGTGGGAGGTACCAGGGTCCCCATTTTCATCAGTGGTATGCTCAGAGTGGGGTGAGCTGGGGGTCCCTGCTGCGGCGGTGATGCATGCCTCTTGCAGGGAGCTGGTGCTGGGTGCTGGGGCGCTGCTCTACTACCTGCCCAATGGCACGCGGGTGACGCAGGAGACCAGCGAGCAGGTAGGGCCTGGGTGCATCGTGTCTCTGAGGGCCATCTCTAAGCCCCAGAGGGACCCCAGTATGGGGCTGGCTCTGGACTCCCCTCTCTCTGCTGCAGGAGCACTGCTGCTACCGGGGGATGGTGCGGGGCTTCCCTGGCTCCTGGGCCAGCCTCTGCGCCTGCACCGGACTCAGGTGAGCCCCTGGTCCCAGCGGTCCCCGAGCCTGGCTCCCACTGTGCCACTGATGCCTCCTCTCCCCTTCCTCAGTGGCCATCTCTGGCTGTCGGAGACCAGGAGCTACGGGATAGAGCCGGATGCTGGCAGCCCCCCAGGGCAGCATGTCGTGTACCGGCCACGGGAGGTCCGGCTGGTGCCACGGGCCTGCGGGCAGGGCCCCCTGGCCCAGCCCCGAGCAGAGGAGAGGGAGCCCCCGGGTCCACAGAGGGTGGGTCACCCACAGGTCTTGCCCTGCCAGAAGGTCCCCTTGCCCATGCCCTGACCCCGTCTCTTCCTCAGGGCAAGCGGGCGGTGGCAGAGCAGTGGTTCGTGGAGCTGGTGATGGTGGTGGACCACACTGCGGTGAGTGCTGGGCAGACGGCCCTGGCACAGGGGCTGCCCTGCTCCCCCGCTGGCCTCCCTGACACCCCTCTCTGCACCCCCAGTTCCAGAATTACCCCAACCTGCAACGTGTCCGCACCCGGACCCTGGAAATCGCCAACCAGGTGGATGCGGTGAGTCACCGCCGCGACCCGCCGGGCACCATCCGTCCTAGCACAGTGCTCGGCTCAGCTGTGCCCTTGCTGCTGTGGTTCTGGGGGTCTCTGACCACCCCCCATACCCCATAGTTCTTCCAGCCACTGGGATTGCGGGTGGCCTTGCTGGCAGTGGAGGTCTGGAGCGAGGGCGACAGGTTCACGGTGGGCAGCAGTGCCCGGGCTGCACTGGAGCGGTTCCTGCGCTGGCGCCAGGAGGAGCTGCTGCCCCGGCTGCCCCATGACAACGCCCAGCTCCTCACGTGAGTGGGGGACTGGATGGGGCTGGAGGCTGAGGCGCACAGGCAGCCCTCCTGACCCCTGTACTCTCTCCTCAGGGGTGCCCACTTTGATGATGTCTCAGTGGGGATGTCGGCTCAAGCCTCCATGTGTTCCCCTGCGCGCTCTGGAGGGGTCAGCATGGTCAGTACGCCCTGTCCCTCGCCATCCCCCTGCCGCTGGCCCCCCCCTGACCTGCCCTGTCCGGCAGGATCACTCGGTCAGCGTCCTCGTCGTTGCCTCCACGGTGGCCCATCAGCTGGGGCACAACCTGGGCATGCGCCATGATGGCGCTGGGCGTTTCTGCGACTGCAGCGACCTCCGGCAGGACCGCGGCTGCATCATGGCATCGCCCACGGGGTGAGGGCTGCAGGCAGGGCCGCAGGGGGCCAGGGCTGAGCCCCCTCCCCACCTCACCAGCCCCCCTCTGGCTCTGCAGGCTGACGCCTGGCTTGAGCTTCAGCAACTGCAGCCAGCAGGACCTGGAGCGCAGCCTGCGGCAGGGACGCGGCTGGTGCCTCTCCAACGTCCCTGAGCCCCAGCGCCTGGCTGGGAGTCCCTACTGCGGGAACCGCTTCCTGGAGCCAGGCGAGGGCTGTGACTGTGGCCTCAGCATGGTATGGGAGGCTCTGGGTGGGCTGGGGTCCCCCCTGTCTCCCCCTGCTTCTCCTGAGCCTGGGGCTGCCCATGCCATGGCTCTGCCCAGGGACACTGTGTCCTGGCCCTGCCGTGGGGCTGGCAGGGGGGATGCCGGTGCCACCCGCTCACTGCAGCCCCTCTGCCAGCAGGAGTGCACTGATCCCTGCTGCAACAGCAGCACCTGCCAGCTGATGCCCGGGGCCAAGTGTGCCACAGGGGACGCCTGCTGCCAGGACTGCCAGGTGCGTAGAGACCGGCAGCTGGCAGGGCTGGCACTCCAGCCACTCCCTAGGGTGGGTTTCTTGAGGGTCCCTGCTCATCTGACTGTGCGCCCTCACAGCTGCGCCGTGCTGGACACCTGTGCCGGGCGCCCCTGGGCGAGTGCGACCTGCCTGAGTTCTGTGACGGGGTCTCGCCACGCTGCCCACCCGACACTTTCCTGCAGGACGGGCAGCCCTGTGCCAGCGGGCAGGCGGTCTGCTACAGTGGCACCTGTGCCACCTATGAGGGGCAGTGCCAGCAGCTGCTGGGGCCAGGTACGGCGGGGCCAGGGCGGGGGCGAGGGGCTGGGTGGGGGTGCTGAGGCTTGCTGCTCCCCTGCTGCAGGCGCCGGCCCTGTCTCCAGCTCCTGCATGGCCTCCCTGAACGTGAAAGCGGATGAACGCGGGCACTGCGGGCAGCTCCCCAATGGCTCCTACATCGCCTGCACCCAGCGGTGAGCGCTGTCCCCCCTTCACCATCTGCCCCTCGCCATCCTGCCCTGCCCCTGATCCCTCTGTCTCTGCAGGGATGCTGGCTGCGGGATGCTGCAGTGCCAGCGTGGCAGCACCCCCGGGGACAGACCAGAAGGGTCCTGCCAGGGGACCCTCCTGCCTGGGGATGAGGATGTGAGCGATGCGGCTATGGTACTGCCCGGCACCGCCTGTGGTCCTGGGAAGGTGAGCGCCAGGGTGGTGGGAAGGGGGCCAGGGGGCTCACCCGGTGCTGATGCCCTGTCCCCTGGGCAGGTGTGCCTCCAGCGCCAGTGCCAGGACGTCTCCGTGCTGGGTGACCAGCAGTGCCAGAGCAAGTGCCACGGGCATGGCGTGAGTGCGGGGCTGGGGGGTGGGTGCTGGAGGTGGGGACCTTGCCGGAGGCTGAGGCTTGGTGTCACCCACTCAGGTGTGCAACAACCACGGGCACTGCCACTGCGAGCAGGGCTGGGCCCCCCCGACCTGCGAGAGCCCCGGTGCGGGGGGCAGCCAGGACAGTGGCCCTGCCGCCCTGGAGCGAGGTGAGGGCACAGGCAGGCGGCGTCTGCCTGGAGAATGGGGCTTTGTGTGGCCGGCACGGCCTGAGCCAGCATGGGGTGCAGCGGGGGGGGCTGACGTGCCGCTCTCCACAGGGGGGAGCACCCTGCCCACCACCCTGCTGCTGATCACGCTGCTGGGGCTGGCCCTGGCACTGGGGCTCTGCTGCACCCGCCGCACTGGGCTGCACAAGCGCCTCTGCCAGCTCAGCAAGGGGACCTCCTGCCAGTACAGGTAAACGCACCGGCAGGGACAGGTGGCACGCATGCCTCTGTGCATGTGTGTGCTGCAGCAGGTACTGGAGCTGCAGGCCTGCATGTGGGCATGCACATGTGTGTGGCGGGTAAGCGGAGTGTAAGCATGTGCATTTGCATGTGTGTATGTGTCCTGTGGTGGCTGACCAAGCGGTGTGCATGCCTGCATCCCCATGCAGGTGACAGTCTGTGTGCGTGCGTGCCCGCGTGCATCCCTGCCCCCCTCCCCCGGCGCAGGTAGCAGATCCTGTCATGCATCATTGCCCCATGTCACCGCGGTTCCTCCCCCCTACTGCCCTCCCCCCCAGCCCTGGGCTGAGCCCCCCACTCTTCTCCCCACAGCGCTGAGACCCAGGCCCGATTCCTGGGTCCAGAAGCCCCAGACGGCTGGAGCGGGTAACGTCACTGCTGGAGCCTGGGCGTGGGGCTGTCCCTGAGCCGTCCTGCTTCGCAAGGCCTCCGGTGCTGCGATCTTCCCCTGGCAGTGCCCGTGGGGTGTGGGGCAGCCCTGGGGTGCAGGGTGTCACCTCTTCTGGTGCTGAGGGGTTCGTTTCTCTTGGGCTTCTGCTGGTGTCAGTGTTTCTTGGTTGCCGTGTGGGGTCCCCCAACTGCCTGGAGCGAGCGGGGCCTGATCCTGCCTCTCCTTCTGCAGGATCTCGCAGCCAGAGCCCCGGTCAGGCAGCCAGGGCCCTCCCGAGCGCCCCCGGCCCCCACAGCGGCATCAGGCCACGGAGCTGCAGGTCATGCACAGCGGCAAGGTGAGAGCTGGGGGGCTGGGGATGGAGGGGGCTGTTGGCGAGGGTGATGCTGTCACTGTGGTAACAGGCTGTGGTTGCCGTGGGTACCGGGGTTTGGTCTGGTTGTTGCCGAGGAGACATCCCCGGGTACCAGCTCTGAGAATCCCTCCGTGCGGGGCCGCATGGTTTGACTCCACGGCGCCCTGGGACAGGAGCAGCCTGGCACAGCCCTGGACCGTGCTGCTCTGATGCCCTGTGCCGCGCTTGGCACTGGCTGCACTTCTCCGGGATCAGTGCCCAGCCAGGGGCTGTGGCGGGCATCCGAACCGGGGCTGCTGCTGGGGGCCTGAGCCCCAGAGCCGCCCACTGTGTGGGGGGGTTTCTGCTTCGCGGCGGGAGGGGGGTCTCTGCATGCTGCACGGCTTGCCCTGCTCCAGGGCTGCATGGCACGCCTGCCCCCTCTCCCTCTCTCCGCAGCCGGCTGCCCTCGGCTCGGCCCGGCCCGGTCCGCCCTCGCGGCCTCTCCCACCAGATCCTCTTCCCAAGGTAATGCCTGGGCTGGGGTGGGGGTCCCGGGCAGCACCTCCCCGGCCACTGGCCACCGCTGCATGCCTGGCTGCGCATCAGCTCTTGGGGACCTGTGGGCCGCGGCTCGGCTCCTAGTGCCCACCACCTGGCAGAGCCAACACCCCACCACAGGAGAGCCCTGGCCCCCCAGAAAACCTCCTGCCTGGTAGGAGGCTCATCCCCTGCGGCCGCCGATCCCCCAGCTGTCTCACTGTCCCTGCTCTCTCTGCCCAGGCCCCCCCCTCGGACAGGCCCCCCCCCCCACCCCCCCGCCCCCCAGCGGACCCCGTGGTGCCAGGCACTCAGGTAATGGCGGCACGGCGGTAGCACCGGCATGTGGAGCAGGACGGCGTGCACCTGGGCCGGGCCTTCCCTTGCCCCTCTCCTGAGGCAAGGGAGGTGATTTGGGCCCCCTTGAGCCCAGCGGGGGGGTTGGCCTGTGCCGGAGCTTTGACACCCCGATTCCCCTGTAGCCCCCAGGTCCGGCCAAGCCCCCCCCACCTCAGCGGCCGCTGCCCTTGGACCCCCCGGGGCCTTCGCTTCCCCACAGTGAGACACCCCCTGGTCACCCCTACGTCACGGTGATTCCCTCCAGGTGAGCATGGCGGCAGCGGGGTGGGGCAGGACCGGGCTGTGGGGTGCCAGGTTGGGGGGGCTATATGGTGCCGTAGT